GTTATATTAACTACCAGTGTTTACCAAAGTTCTTGCCTAAATAATATGTACTCGACTTTAAATTACTAAATCAATTTTGACAAATCACATTTGCACACAAACGCAGTGACGACTTATTTGGGTCACATGAAATCGACCACCGTGTTGTAGGAACATTAATATCGAGATTCTAATGTTAATAATATTTATTATATATACGATTTATGTAACATTTGCTCGAACGGTGAAGGAAAACATCGTGAGGAAACCGACATGTCTTAGACCTAAAAAGTCGTCGGCGTGTGTCAGGCACTGGAGGCTGATCACCTACTTGCCTATTAGATTTAAAAATCATGAAACCGATTCAGACATCTGAGGCCAAGACCTAAAGAGGTTGTAGCGCCACTAATTTATTTTATACGATTTATGTAACTAAAAAGCTTTTATCTTTTTATTTTACAACTTACTAGACTTTCCATGGAGTTTTTTTGCATATAAATACCTATGTTACTTATGCAATACATATATTAATTATTCGATCCAGTTTCTAAATTTATTCATAACATTAGAATTTCATCTCTTTATAATATATAGATCTATTAGTATGGTAATAATATAAATAAGAATAAATCAGTGGTGCTAATACCTTTTTAGGTCTGGGCCTCAGATTTCTGTTTCATGATTATTTATCAATCTAATACCTAGGCAAGTAGGTGATCAGCCTCCTGTGCCTGACACACGCCATCTTTTGAATCTAAGGCAAGCCAGTTTCCTCACAATGTTATCCTTCACCTTTCGTGCCAATGATAAATGCGCACATAGACAGAAAGCCCTTGGTGCACAGCCGGGAATCGAACCTACGACCTCAGGAATGAGTCTCACGCTGAAGCCACTAGGCCACCACTGCTTATGCTAATAATATACGGAAAACAATTTTTAATTAATTAGCCAAAAGTTATGCAATAATAATTCTTTTACAACTTACTAGGGTTCCCATGGACATTTTTTCGAAATAAATAGCCTATGTTACTTATGCAACATAATTCCAGTTTCTATACATTAGTATTTCCTCTCTTTATAGATATATTAGTATGTTAATAATATACACAAATTAATTTTTATTTAGGTAGCCAACAGCTTATATATTCAAATGTAAAAAGGTAATTATAATCTAATTTATTATTTAATATTTCTGTGCATGAGTATGTATACTTAATATTGGAATAACTTTAAAACGGACGATATTAATTGAATCTCAGGAAAATATAAAATAAAGTTAAGTTCGCTCTGTTAAAATGAATTCGCCAGTTTCATAAAGGGAACAATTTATTTAATAATGAGCCATGAACAATCTTCGTCATTTCTGCAGTTTGCACTCCGAGAACTGACCCCTTTTTGCTCGCACAATTTAAACTTCCACGCTAACCTTTTCCAAATAAAGAATAAATACGCAATTAAGTGCTCACTATTGTTCTGTAAGTAATGCGATATCAGACTTTTAAATTCCATTACTATTGATTGTTCGAATAAGCTCATGGTTCTAATAAAAGTTTTGTCCAGTTTATCTGCCCAACATCTAAAACAAGTTCTTGCTCATAAACTATGAACTATAATATGTAATCATATGTCAAAAACAAATTCGTTTTTACTTCGACTAATGCCAAATGTGACCAACATTCATAGATATTATTCTTCTTCAGATATATTATTAAATTACCATTAAAATAATTTAATAGACTGAGTGCATTTAACCAAGACTACACATATACACATTGAGGACTAGCTTCTTACAACGTGTGTCATCAAAAAAATATGTCAAACGTTAATTAACTCTTTATCATAAGAAACGGGCAGGGTGTAAATTTTTAGCCAAGCGTGAAATTTGGTAAAGATGGCTAAGACAGCTGGCACTGTACAGTATACTAAAATGATCACTTAATGCCGACACTATACCGATATGTTCCGAGAAATTTGTGTAGGTTTCTCCGAAGAGTATTTATTAATCTGATCAACGATAAGAACATCCGAGTTTTGGGTTTACAAATAGTGAATGAAAATTTCAATTCAATGAAATTTAAAACGTTACATATTACAAATAGTAAACTCAAATACCAAACGGCCCTTAGACATGCTGATAAAATAGGGATATGACCCACACTTGTTCAGTGCTGGTATCCTCTAATAGCAGAACGCTTCTAACTAATAATGTAAGTATTTAATGATTGGCCATCCTGAAGTAGCCACTTGTCCAATCGTTGATTGCAATATCGTTATCGATACGATGACATTCTTAACAATAACATAATTATCTAGTCTAGGGCCACGGAATTATCAAAAGACGCATTTATTTCTTGAGATTTTCGTTGTAATGAATAAGGGGACAGTAGAGCTTTTGAGCGTGACTAGCGTCTAGTAGCTTCCGACTCGCAACCCTGAGGTGATACCCAAATGTCTTAAAACCATCCTACTGACTCACTCGGCTGGCAACCAAACAAGTGTCTTTTCAAAATGACAAAACAGACTTCCAGCGCTGTCCTGTGCCACCTCCAATTGCTGGATTTCAGCTGCAGCAGTTCCTTTTCCACGTAAAATATGAAAGAAACGCAATCGCAAGATCCATAGCGCCACTGGATTCGAGTACTAACTTTAGTTTACAATTCCGGATATTACATTCCTTTTAAAAGCTTCGTATATCTTATTCCTTTTCTAAATAAAAGAGTTAGGATTCGATTAGTGTCAGTTGTCACTTCATCACGCCACGGGATACCGAGATTCATAAATACAATTATGTCTCATTCAATCTGTAGACGAGGTAGTTTTGGAAATCAATGTTTACAATAAATTTTCGTTGCGGTTAATTTAGATTTAACAACGAAAATTTTAATTTTAATCAAAATCTTACGAAAATTGCTGAAAGGTCAAAAAGAGATATACATATTGAAGCAATTGATTGCTTAGTCAAAATTGTAAATCAAACTTAAAAAAAACATGTAATCTAGTATTTATCAAACGTGTCTAGATATCTTAGATTTATAATCTTATCTGTTTATTGTTCACAGTCTTAGGCGGTATTCTAACAAGTAATTACTATGACTTCAAAGAAATTTAATTAGCCGATAATAGCCTTTGTCGGCTACTTATTACGTGTGAATATAGGGTGTTCATTCAATTCAGATTTCTGTTCAGAGCTCAGGACTTAAAATTATTAATTAATAGGTAAAACCTTTGTCTAACTAACTCAGGGTCCAAATTAGTATCTAGGTTATCAAAGACGCAATGGTCGCAATTCTTAAATGAAAGTTTACTTTTTCAAAATTTTATAGTTAACGGCCAGTAACTAACAGAGTTTAGATTAAAGTGCTATTCACAACTGAGTTTTATGACAACACCCGTTTTTATTTCAATTCGCTTAAGAGCTAAGTGAGGCTAAATGTGGTGTTCCGCGATCGTGTGTTTGGTTTGAATTTCGCAGTTATTTTAGTAATAGTGGTCGATTAGTAGGTAACGACAGGGAGTAATAAAGGATCGTTCGGGAAAAGCACGGGATGTTTTGAATTGGCTCTGCTTTAATGGCGCCAATATTCGATAATTCAGCGTTCGCATTATGCGATCTGAACATGTGTCAGGCTATCGAGTTTTATGACGTCTATGATAAATTCGGACTGGCACCGCGACCACGTAGATGACCGCAATAGCCTAGGTGCCAGGCTCATTAAATGAGCGTTCATAATTGATTAGGAACGCTATGGCGTTCCCTAAATTGCAATTTTGATCACTGCAGAACGTATTATTGTGTTACCACCAATGATACGTAATATACGTTATAACAGCAATATTTGCGCTACATAATATTAAATAAGAAATGAAACGATTCGTTCTGTTTGAATATGAATGTGACGTGACTTCAACTTAGTTAAAAGTAAAAGTGCAAATAATATATATAAACAGACCAGTATTGTTATTAAAAAAGCCTGAATCCTGAATCAGTCAACCTAATCGTCACAAATTGACCAAATCGACAATACATGTTCCCGAAGTTTGGATTGATTGAGTGACTCGAATTGCATTCCTTTAAATACTGGATTCGCTTGTGAATTCAAATTTTAGGCCTCAATAACATTAAACCATAAAAGGTACGCAAAAAACAAATAACGTGCACCGTCAAGAACGTGAGCTTTTGTATATTTTAACAACCTAATTAGCTTTTGACCACAGCTTTAAGTGTTAAGTAGAAATCGGAATTACTTTTTTTATAATTGTTGACACGCGACATTTGAGCCAAATGCAATTACAAATAGATAATTAAATGTTTATATTTAGAAGTGTCTATTTAGTTAATCCACTGAAACCAAATATACAAAAGCAATTTCCATACATTACGCATCAATAAATCTACATACATCAAGTTCGAAGTTCCTTAATATTTCACTTCCCTTATTAAGGTGTGAATTCCAAGGCATTAAGGGTCCAGGGGTGGGCCACTTTATCAAATACGGGATACGGCTAATAATGACGCGCCATAATTGTCCAATTAAACACAGTTGTATGTAAATAACCGAAACGCAGCCGTTTAACAATAACACATTGATCGAAAGGTGTTCTCGTGTCAATGACCCCTGAATCTGGCGAAAGTGTTGCATGTATCTTAGATCGAACTAGCGAAAAAATAGCAAATTAATTAATGTTAACGCTTGCTTAATTAAGAATCACACGATTGTTGTTCATTGTTAGGGTTTTTTGTATGATGCACGTTAATGCAAGCTTACTACTGTTACCCTGATAAGGTCAACTTTTTTATTGGAATAGGAAATTATAAAAACCGCTCAGTATGCGATATGACTTGATCGATTTAGTGTTAGTTTTCTGCTCGTTTTTTATTATGTTGGGTCTGTGTTGTTTGACTAATGATCTAATTATTCTTGATATATTTTCTCGTAATTTTGTTTTAAATTGGGCTAGAATGTTCAAGATATATGGTATACTAGAAACGGGGAACTGATGAAAAATAAAATCTGTTTATAATGAAAATACCTAAGGTATTTAAGGTGAGTGAGAGAGGGATTGTAAATGTCTATCCATCGACTAATCCCATACCGTTTAGTCCCTATGACGAACAGAATCTCCTCTATAAAGATTAAACCTGTCAATACTCGCAAACTATAGCTGAGTGCTTCAATACTTTTGTATTAAACCATTCAGCTATAGTTTGCGTTTTGAATATTTAAATTTGAATTGATGAAATAAAAACAAAAGACGATTGCACGTTTAGCACTAAATAGGACTTGTATGAAACAAATTTTATGCGTCTTCATTCAATATTCAAGAACCCTAGCTTAAAACAAGCCTAGTAACCATGGTAACCATGTTGCTATGCTATTTTTTATGCAAGAAATACCACCATAAGACAAAGAAGCCTTTATCCATTTACTTAAAAGCTGTTCGGTTTAAATTTCTGATTTGAAGTGAAAAATTTGCGCAATCAGTTGTGAAGCAATTCTTGAGCTGTTAAGTACGATTCAAGAACGAGACGAGAGAACATACTTATACTATATGTTTATGACATACAGGAGTCACAAGTATATCTATCTATGTCTCGTGTCTGAATCTCCTGAACAGATCGTTAAATTCTTATACATTAATTTTTTCAAACAAAAAGCACTGTAATTATAAGAAACATTTAAAATGCTTACAAGGACAAAATCACTGGGACGAATGATTGTAACTGACAAATAGGGATCGGAAATTTTTTTGTCACTAATTTAGTGATGCGATCTGGAGATCAGTTATATTTAATACGTTCTAAAAAACCTACCTGCTCTGTCACAATGTCAACGATATTTTTTGCCGATGTCTTTAACGAAATTCGTGTCGTTCGATTTCTCTTAGATTAACATTTAATAGATCGGACCCCGAATATTCTGTTACATGGTTTAACACTTAAAAGGGCTTAACGACTCTAACACATCCTGCGGGTTACGATAAAAAAACTGAAAAAACCTACATTTCTTATGTTTGTTTTTTAAAAGATGGCTGCAAGAGATAAGATGCGGCGCTTTTATCCGCGCCGTTCGATGTTTCAAAGGGATGCGATGACAACGTTTTTTTAATCTAATAGACATACTTAACTATTGAGACAATGCAAGTAATTAATAGGGAAAGTTCTGTGCATACAAAGCTATAGGGAACAGGAACTTATCTACCTCATAATAAATATAAAACAAATGAAATTCATATTATAGGCATTTAATACGCAGAAATGTGGAATCAGCTGCCCACTGAAGTATTTCCGTACGGATTCGACTTTAGAGTCCTTCAAGAAAACAGCGTAGGTAGGTAGGTTTCTTTAAGACGGCAATGCGCTTGCGATCCTTCTGACTGTGTCCAGTAAAAAAACTATTTATTAAATCCCTTATACTATTTATATGTAAAAATATAATAAGGAGTTACTGTAATACAACACGAACTAATTAATAGAAACAAAATAGACGAAACCTCACCAAACATTTGATTTAATGAATGTAAAATAAGTTTCTAAGAATGTCAAAGATAAGGTTGAATTTTACAAAAAAATAAAACTCCTTTATCGAACCGTTTTGCCATACTAACAATTAAACTTAGTTGTGATAAACCGAACTAGGAGACACCCACTCAACCAGTCTTAGTGATATATTACTTGAGATAAATTTTAACTTATTGTGTTCGTGAATGTTTCTTTAAAGTTTTTTTACTTTGTGACGTCAATTTAAACCTATTTTGAATTTAAATATATAAAAAATATTACACATTCGCTTTTAAGTGCCGAACATCCCATTGACACTTAATCAATATTTACGGGCATATCATCACAGCAAAAACATTTGAGAAGTGGCCTTCGACAAATGGTGTGCATAAGAGGGCATTTCCTGAGCGTCCCTGGAGTGCGAAATCCAAAGCCAACACATGTGATAATTATAACTTGTACCGTTGAAGTGAGCAAACCAACTTCTCAAAGCACTCGGCAAATCGTCATGATCGTAGAACAACGTCGGATTTGAAAAAAATCCAAAAACCACTTTTTATCACATTTGGATACTACATTGACTAAATATTACGGCTACATTAAAAAAAAATCCATGTGTTTTAAATTTCAAATTAATCAGTCGGTAGTGACGGATTTGATAGACGCTAGAAATCTGTGTAATTAAATGTTATTATTATTATTTTGTTTCAAAACAATTTCCATGGTTACAAAATATGAATTAAAAAAGTAATGACAAAAAACTAAGATGATTATATTATTTTGAAATGGCTGCCCTGTAAAGCGTACTATTTGTCAGATCCGTCACTATTCTACGACTATGACGATGTTATCGCTTATCAAATTTCTGACTTTGTATTATCAATCCGGGTAATAACGTAATTTAACGAATGTTTTCATTGATTTTTTAAATTAAATTCCCCCAATTTGTAAACATTGTCGACTTTCTCGTGTATACGTATACATTTATGTCATTCGTATTTGTCGTAATCCCTTTAAAGCATGGCCGTCAATTTCAGCGTAAAACGAACAGGTTAATTTAATCTCTATTACAATCAGTTTAGGTCGAATCGACAACGATATGGCATCAATACCTATTGCCCTGAAACCTGCGGTATACGTAGTGTTGCGAGTACGGATTAAATAACTATGCAGGGTATGTAATGTACGTAATGCTGGGACTCCACATTTAACGGCTTCGGGATTACCTCGATAATACCCTCAGCACAATAAATGTTCAACCGGCGCAATGGCAAGCGTCGCGATAGGTCGATTTTCAAACAAGGTTATGTATAATGGCGTTCCGTTTAGGGTGGAAGCCCTAAGGCTGCGAGCACAGCTCCGCCTAAGCCACCGGCCGAGTCGTGACAGCTATGTTTACATCGCAACCTCATTACGCAACAAAAGGTTAAAAACGACATTTCCCAAAGGCATGCATTTACGAACGACACGCTTGACGCCAGAACGAATATGCCAACGTTATCACAATATGGAAGATTTATAATCGAAATACAATATATTTGGTCCGGAAATATCCTATAATAACACGGAAAGGACACAAAGGGAGTTTAATACTTAATTTCGTTAACTGACGGGTCGTATCATAAGCGGGTGGCATTTCTCGGTTTCTAATCCTATTGAGGCAGCATTTGTTAGGTCACCGGGACCATTTTTCATTCGAATGACAAATATTTAGAAAGTTATTTATCCACGTATGAATCCGCAACGCTCAATCGAGGACGTAGGGACGGGATCGCTTTGTCCGGACGATTTAATGTTTATTCTGCGACCGTGCAATCGATTCAGGTAGATAATTCTATTATAACAATAATGCGCTCCTGATCCCATTGTAATCATATTCAAAATTTTTCAATCGTGTCGCATTAGCGTCAAGACGCTTCATAATCTAATTTCTTCGCACAATGCATTGAAAGGGTTTCGCGAGCGTGTCCGATTTGCCTACCAACTGCGGGCTGATGAGGTGGCAGCTACGCCCATACTGCACCCCTTTCAATCGTTAAATCCTCATCTATAACCCATCATACCGTGGATTTTTTCGCGCTCGAATTTTAATATGCGTCAAGACTGATGGATAACCACGTGAGCTTGCTCGAGCGAATGCCGCTGTGCGCACGGAGGCCTCCTATTTGTGTCAACTGTTATATTTTGTGCTGCAAATGCGAATGTGGAATCTAGCCATAAAGGCATTTCAAAATTTACAACTTACAGAGCACCATATCGACAGCCTCCAACAGTCCACCTCCGGCGCAGGCTGGGATGAGCGGTGGGGCGGGCGGCGGCGGTCCAGGGCGGGCTAGCTCTCCCGCAGCGTCTGCGACGCGCTGCTGCGACACCGGCCGCCCCATCTTCCAAGATCCTATCACAGGCCAGACGGTCTGCTCCTGCCAATACGAGTTTCTCAACTACCAGCGGCTCGCATCTGGCGTGCCTCTCTCTATGTACAGTTCACCTTATCCTGACGCGGCTGCTGCAGCCGGCATGGCGGCCTACTTCCCAGCGCTTGCTGCTGACCAGCCACCTTTCTATGCTAATACGGTAAGAAACTTACAATGTACAGAAAAGCCTTTATTTAGTATAATTTTATATATGGCACTACTAATAACGTTCGTAAGCTAAAAGTATATTATAAATATATATAATAATTATTAAAAATGGATACATTGAAAACTAAAATAAATTAAAAACGTTTCATGGCATACACCTTTAATGCTGGCAGAATTTCCTTAGTATATTTGATACTTATTCGTTGAGCAAGGAAAGCACCAGCTCTGGGGTCACCGGTACTATCTACCAGGCGCCAACTGAAATAGTTAATTAGCGCCTGTGCACTTGACACCCACGGCCCAAGAGTCTCCTCCAAAGGGAACAAAATCAAAGTTGGAGGAAGGCTATTACTTGAGTCGTTTACTACTTAAAATTAAATAAAACGAATTAAAATTAGCGGCAACCAAATTTGGGTAACACTTAAGAAATTAAAATTAATAGAGTAGCTTTAGTTGGGCTTACCTAATACGACGTAAGCACGTGCTAGCTCATAAAATGTAGCGAAAGAATATTTTCGTTTGACCTACATCCGCGAGTATTAATCATTATTCACGTCAATCAGTGTTTTAAGTCTTTTAGATAATTATTACTTGCTCCCATTGGGTATAATTAAATTATAATAAACATTCGTGTTGACTTTCCTCAACTCTGTTCGGTAATAATAATAAAGCCCGTTTTTTTCAATATTTACAAATGTTTAATATACAGTTTGGATTTGTTATATATGTATATATACATATGTAATTTGTTATTCTAATATCCTTACTTCCTTTAGTACCATTGATGGTACCCCTTCACTGGTAAGGGTTTCCTCGTGCTTTTTCCAAATATCTGTATCCATGGCTTTCTTTCTCCATTTGCTTCCTACTAACTCTCTATATGTTTTTACGCTTTTCTTTTCGGTAATACGTCTACAAAACTAAAATTTTATATTTTGATCGCGATTTTGTTTTATACGAAACCATTACTAAAAATGAACTTAGTCATAGAGACCCTTAATTGAAAACATATGTAAACTGCCATATCTTTTAACACACCTATGTTAACCTACGATTACGTACCAAATTCATAACAGCAGAGTTAATATGAGGCATTCGTTTGTTTTTCAAAATACCTTATAGACTGTTAATTCCAGCTCCTTCAACTTCAACGAATAGTGTATGTTAGAAGGAGACAGAAGGCGTACGTCTTCGTAGAAGAAACTTCGGCAATGGTTTGGTCAAATCACCAAGCCAGATGCATTTAAAATTAAAATTGTCGATATTCGCCAACCTTCGAAAGGATGGAACTTTAAAAAGACTTCAAAACAATTGATTCTTACTTACGTATTAAATCGTCAACACAGACGTTAAAAAGATAATAAATATTTTTTTCATATTCAGTCGAGATAAATTTGCTAATTATGTGTTATTAAATACTTAAGTTATTTGTGCAATTAATAATTTGTGATTTGTGATGAAGCTTTATTGTTTTTTTATTTATTATTACCCTTTATATATAAATACTAATTATTTAATTTTTTTTGTTTGAAAAATTCCTAGTTATTAAACGAATAGTGAACAGATTTCTACGAAACAAATAGTTAGAAGGAAGCACTTTATATGTTGAATTCGTAAATATTGTTTACGTTTCATGTGTAATAAAGATATAAAAGTAATAAATTATATTTCATCCTCATTAATTTTGACTTCGAATAAATTCAAAGCATACAAATAAACGTCAAAAAAATAAATTATGAACGTGTTGACACGTTGTACTTCAATGATTCCTATCATGCAAATGATCGCCTAATGAACTAAATCTATTTAATTATAATTACAAAACACAAACCTCAATACAACAGGTGCCATTTTGACCTTAAAAGCATGTTACATTTTTTTCTATGAATACGATACAAAAAAACATGTTTTAAAACCGCTTCACACATATTTAATGTTTGGCGCATGTAAGTGTTAGATTTTAAATTATTAACATTTTGACGGTTATTATTAACCATTTATTTTTAACATTCGGAGTTACTCTTAGTTCTTAGTCTGATCAAAAACGCTTTATGTATAGGTATTATATAGTATTTTCCAACTATATATTTACTTTTCTTAGACACTTTAACAGTCTTACAGCCGTACTCAGAGTCCTCGGTCCTTCAGTAACGGGTTTACCAATTGGGAGCTTAATGTCACTCTGCTATTCAGTTACTTAAATCAGTATTTAGTTTGTAGTAGTTGCGCCGTGTTAATGAAATTATAACAAAAGACAATTTAAAGACTGCGTTTAGAAATTTATTATAATGCCAGGTTTTTGTAGTCTGTTCTGTACTAAAAGAAAGGAGAAGCGTTTGGTTGTGATTTTTTATGTAACATATCGTATTGGTGTTTGAAGATATAGCTTTGTTCTCATACGTTTTTATATGAATCATCCCTGTATCCATAAAACTACGGAGACACAGCTCGTAAAAACATTCAAAACAAGTTATCGACACGTTTTAGCACTATCTAGCCAATATCACTAGGAAATCAGACATTGTATAATATTAAAAAGGCGGACAAGAGATTTTTATCATTTAAAAGCAATGTCGTTTTAAACAAGTCGTAAAGGGATATTAATCGCCAATACAAAGTTCAAGTTTAAAGGCTTGTGAAAAGTTATTTTTGCGATAAATTAAATTTTTAAGTACGAACGTCTAATTAAGAGAATAAGTCTTTGTTTTTCGAGTACTAAAAAATCGAATAGCAATAAGTTTATGTTATTATATTTAATATTAGTACTCGATCTCCGACGGAGTGAACGCCTCCAAACTCTTCCGTCTGTCCCTCATCTTCACCACGATTTACCAATCATTCCCCGCTATCTCTTTTATTTCTTCCCAGGCTACCCGTGGGCGTCCTCTCTTTCTTCCCACGGGGACATTCCAATTACGGGTCTTTTTGAGCCATCACAAATGCGGGTTTTAAAAGAATAAAATAAACTGGCAATCTCACCCATAGTTTTGCGCGACTTAGTAGAAAGATTTCTTCATATCTTTGAATTCCCGTTTCATATCGTATTTTACAAACTGTTATATCCTTAATATTTTTAACAAACAACTGATTTAAGATTAGTAAAGGACTTTTTTAAACGATGTAACATAAGCTTTTTTAATTCCGCCCTAAATATACCCTTAGGCTATGTTCACATGTAACGCGCGTTAACGCGCGATCAAATTTGAAGAGCGTTCAGATGATGAGCGCTAACGCGCGTTGCGAGAGTACTCGTCAGTCTAGTTCGGTAGAACGTAGAAAATGGACGTGGAAGAGGCTATTATTTTGTGGTTATATTATAAAGAAATTTAATTATAAAGAAAACATTGGGTTCATCCAATTTTGAAAAAAAAAATACAATTTATATTATATTTTTTATACAAATTTGCTATATTCCAACTTGCTGACCTTTTTTCTACTTCATCGATTAGTAAGTCGATGTCAATATCTTCAATTTCACTCATTTTAAAAGCGAGAACAAAATATAATTACGAAAATTAATAAAATTACATGCGATCGCGATGAAAGCGCGCGCTCATCTGAACAGCAAACGGACATTACATTAATATCAAAGCGCGCGTCAACGCGCGATCACCTGCGTCTAGAGACTTTTTCTCTGAGCGCCGCGTTGACGCGCGTTAACGCGCGTACATGTGAACAGTTGTATGAAAAATACCATAATCTCTAGTCGCGCGATTTGAAAACGCGCGTCAAGTTTTTGCCATCTGAACATAGCCATAGGGTAACATTCTGAGCCTCGTCTCAGCGCAAACTAAGTCTTTGGGAGACTTTCAACATGCCTTGACGAAATGAGAGGTCCTATCTCTTAGGACTTAGGTACTTAGGTCCATAATCTTATTTGTATCTCGAGGCCCAATCTCGTCTTCATACAGAAAAAATGGTTTGACAGCTCTTGAAACTAGACCTGAGGATTCGCAATTCGCAGGCTTCGGCCTTGAAAACTACCAAAATTCTCCAATTATTACCAAGAACAAGACCTGGCTGTATAGACTAAAGTCCATGGCCTATTCCATTAGGGATACATTAATATCATCATCAACTAGACCTGAGTTTGATTACGTCAAAATTTTTTGACATAAGTCAAAGTTAGCCAAATCTCGTCTCCTTCGCCCTAATCACCAACTGATAATGCCTTGAGGGGTAAAATGTAATCTTAATCACACAGTAGCCCGTAATAGACACATTGAGTATTCCAATATATTATCGAGTCACATGTCTAAAGGGATTAAACCTTTTGCCTCCATAAAAAGCATTATAATAATTAGGATCCGATGTCAAAATAGTCTTGGTAAGAAACTTTGTGACCATCCTTCATCGCGTTAAGTAGATTCAACAATACCCATCCAGATATAAGGAATACTTATAAATTAGAACCATAATCCGATGATGCATATTCGTGAGTCACAAAAAGTTTTCTACCTCCTTTGGGCTTAATATCTTAATGCCGAGAGATTCCAAAGCGTTGTGTTAACGGAAATATCGTGTAATAATTGTTTCATTAATTTATGTATTATTATGGGGACTTAAAGGGGCAGTTATTATATTTAAATTAGCAACATTTTTTTCGTAATTTACATATAATAAAAAAATTACAATCATCTAAAGAAAGGTAAACCCTATAAACGTCAATATATAAAACATTTAGTGATAAACAATTCAACAGCAAAATAGTAGCAACTCACATTATTTAAATTTTGCGTTTTTAACAAAAAATAGTGTGGATTTTATATTGTTACAAAAGTTAAATATTACTTGAAACAAATTTCAAAAAATTATATAATAATATTCAACGTATATTTAAATATAAAAACGACTAGTGGCAAATACGAATGGAATGAGGAATCCATTGATAATACCCGAAGTAGTAAAACTTGGAGGTGTTAAAAGGTAAACGTGAGATGATTTAATCATTCACGATGCGATCATTTATCATATCTGGCGAAAGTGTTAAGTTGGGGCGATCAATATTTTTTTCCATTCTCACATTTTATTTCTACGGCTTTTTATAACCTTGATTTGTAACGCATTCACGCACGGAGTCCAAAAAGTATGGAGACGATCTACCGATAACATAATAACAAAAATAATTAATGCATGTACAAAGGTTTATTAATAATTTTAAATAAAATATAATTGTTTTAAAGTAGGTACATTGCCTTAGTTGTTTTTTTAACTGTAAATTTTTACCCCCAGGTTTTCAACACTTGACCATATTTACCCAAACACCATTTATTGGCCACCAATTCGGCTAGGACCAGCCAGTTCGTTGGACTTCTCTTTATAGAAATATATTTTTAATATATATTGAAAAATATGATTACAAAGAAATTGACGGTAATAGGACCAGGGGTTTAACATATTTTACTGATTTTATATGATTAAGCATTTATAAAATCTAACACTTGACACATAGTAAAACTTGAATAATATTGTGTAATTACGTATGAACGTAATCGACTGGCGTATATCGCAAGGGAACGTCTCGAATAAAATTAAACCTTGCTGCGTTGACTAAAGGTCATTTTTATAGATTCCCAATTCCGTATTATAAAGGGTGTCTCAGTAAGAGTGCACTTTTTCATTTTTAAATAAAGACAAGTATTTTATGACAGAGTTCTGATATTTTTATTGTATTGTAAAGAAGACATGTTCCGATTAAGTATGGAATAAAATATCCGGCAAATGACCTCCACGGCTCCGATGACAGGCCATTACACTCTTCATGAAATTTTCCATGACTTTTCACAGAGATGTGGCTGTATCTTACCGATGACGCGTTGGATTTTCGATTTGAGCTCAGGAATGGTTTCGGGTTTATTCGCATAAACTCGAGATTTCACAAAACCCCAAAGAAAAAATCGCACGGCGTTAAATTGCACGATCTTGGTGGCCAGTTGACATCAGGATTTCGTGAGATAATGTGTTCTGTTCATCGGAGAAAATGACTTTTTCGAAAAATTGGCATCGACTTCCCTTTGCTCCATTACTCATTGAGCAAATTGCCGGTGCCTTCCTTGGTCTGCTGGTTTGAGCTCCTGAGTTAACTGAATCTTGTACGCATGAAGGTCTTTAGTCAAAATTTGCTAAGTCGAATTGATGCTTTCTGGTATTCGGCGACACTCTCGTTTACAGCAGCAATGTTTTCAATTGACCGACCGGTACGTCGACGCAAAGGATTCTTATTATCCATACCTAATTGACCCAGTTTCTTCAAATTTTTTGACCATTCTTCGAATGGTTGACACATTAGGTGCACTTTCTCGGCTGAAAATTTGGTGAAATTTGCGAGCGTTTTCAGCGTTACTTTTGTAATGAGTTTTCACAATTATAACGAGTTGTTCTTTCGAAAAGCGCTCCATTTTTAATAATCGGAATAAACAGAGGTGACACCTGTCAAATTTCAGAGTTGCCACTTGCAGGAAAACCAAAAATATTACAATTTTAAAAAGTGCACTCTTACTGAGACACCCTATATGATATGATAATTAAAACTATAATTTTAAAAGTTAAGGTTCCAAATTAATTTACAAGATTTCATTGATCAGTTAAACTCAATGATTCGTGTACTAGTCAGCAGCTCACGAGTCTAAAATTATATAAATACCTAATATCTTATATCAATACAGGGTAATTTCTTTTCATATATAAATAGGTAAGAAATTCTAGCCTTTATGGCCTGGCCTACCTACATAAATTCTAAAAATAGGTTTTCGCAAACTATTAATATTTCTGTGTTAGAAAACTTTGTTAACCTCAACCAAAGTGAAAAGTCTAAATTAAAAAATGACTTCCTAACTTTGAAATAATGGTTACTCACCCCCCTTGCGTGTGATAAATACAATTCATCGGATTATAAGCCCGTTCGACCCTCTGTAATACATCAATGAAATAATTTGATGTCACATTCATAATCGCTTACCTATATAAAGAATTCACGAGTTTTACTCAATTTATTAGTAGCATTACAACACCAAGTTATAGAAAAAACAAAAAAAAACAAAGTTGTATAAAATGCTTTCAGTCGCACTTTATTGATCTATTTATCAACCTAGTTTAAATTTTCTAACGTACCTACTGATGTCACGGGCGGACGGAAATTATATCTAAAACTTATTAAAACATTTTTGGTCCATATTTTTGAGCAATTGCTTGACTTTATCCTGGTGTGTTCCTATCTCGGTCAATCAGGTCTGGTCTTGCACAATGAGACATTAAAGAACTATGACTGTCATGTGCTTCACTTGCACTAAAATTTTAAGAACCTTTGAATGATTTATTTTGAACGTGTTGCTTTGACATCCCTTTGATGAACTTGGGAACAAGTTGAAGATTTAGGTCTATCAACCCTGCATTTTGATGTCTTCCGTGTGTACATACGAAAATTATACACATAATATCATAAATAAATGAGGCCTAGTGGCTTCAGCGTGCGACTGTCATACCTGAGGTCGATCCCCGGCTATGCACCAATGGACTTTCTTTCTATGTGCGCATTTAACATTTGCTCGAACCTGAATGGAAAAATCGTGAGGAAACCGACCCAAAAAGTCGACGGCGTGTGTCAGGCACTGGAGGCTAATCACCTACCTGCCTATTAGAATTAAAAATTCATCATGAAACAGATTCACAAATCCAAGACCTAAAAAAGGTTGTACCTAACTGATTTATTTATTTTATTTTATGTAATAATAAAGAATACTTACAACACTGTTTATTATACTGAATTAATACGTAATAGGCATCTTCGCTTACATGTCGGAAAGAGAGCAGTTATAGTTCAAGTACCTATAGTGGTGAATAAGGTTGTCATAACCAATCAACAATACAAGCAAATATACCCGATAAATCAAACTAACTGCAGATTCGCGTCAAGCGAGCCCCGATTATTTAACAGAAAGAAGAATTATTCCAAAGTGGTTGAACTAACAAAGAACAGCGTATGGATTACGCTGTCGTACTTGAGTAAAATTTATTATCGGATTTTCGATTCGGCCACCAATGAAGTTGTTGAACAACAAAATCTTTTGATAGATTTATCCCGGCTGACCGCATTGAGAGATTCGGTCTTATTTTTAATGTCACTATAAATTTTGGACCCCTTTGTCAGTAGGTATAATATGTTGCCAAAAATTAATACAGATTCCAAATATCAAATCAACTAATAGATAAATCGACTAAATCCGTGATATTCCTAATTAATAATTTGTGACTGCGTCAAATTGTGTCAAAATGTTAATCAAAACAGATCAAGATTTGATCTTTATAAAAAATAAAAAAATCTGTCTGAGTTTTATTTATTCATAATTTAAAAAAATGTTAGGATATTTATTATGGAATATAAGGTAATATCACTTGGGGTATCATGGGATGTGTTATATTTATTCTTATAAAAAACAATACAATATCTAAGCATTTTTTGAAGCCGCTTCAAATCCGCAAATAATAGTAGTATTCACTGCAAGCTAAATTAAAAATAAAAATATTCATACCAAAAGATAGTTTCCACTATCCACTATTCCACTATCACAACTTTGTGACCAAGGATAAGATTCAAAGACAATGCAGAATCAGAAAGTCTTCACTCATACACTAACATACGCTAAGCTGTCCAAATAGGATTCCTTAAATTACTATCGCAAGCTTTAACGTGTTGTAAACGATGCGTAACTAAAGAGTCATCAAAGGGTCACGACCTACCAACGAACGAGGGACATTTGTCTAAACCAAAATGATTGATGCCGTATCTTTAACCATTAAATAATATTAGTTAAGAAACGAAACGATCGATCAAAAATCAATTTGATAGTCCATTTTGGTAATGGATTTACGCTTCTGTGTAGGAAAGGAATTTAATAGGCGCTCAGTAGAGAGGTGCGCACGCGCAGGTAAAACTACTGTGCTATCTATATATGGTTATTTTAAACCTTCGTAAAGGTTTTGATATTTTGATAATATAAAAGTTAATTAATTAGGTTTTTGGGGTAGTTTTGCTCAATTTCATTAAAAAACATTATTTTTTTAGAGTCATAAACGCACGTTTGTATTAATTTTATAGCTATATAATAACTTCAAATATTTTTTAAAGAGCGTTTTAATAATCATAGCACGTAATCCAATTTTAATCAAATAACACGAATTTATTCATCGTTCATAATCCAAGCCGTTACTGTATCACTAATTCGTATCTTAATATCAAATTCTGTTTTAGCTGTAATTACTAATAATTAAAAACCTTTTATTTCCGTATATAATATCTGTGCCTTTTGGCGTAGGACTCTTTCTTTTTAAGAAATTTATTTAGCAATTAATTAGTTAATTAATTAGTAGTAACACATGTTTAATCTTAAAAGCAAATACTGCGTGTTAAAATATAGCCACCAATTGTAAGATAAACATATTTATAATGTAATTATACTCAACAGGCTGCGGGAATTGAGCTGAAAGAAAACTTGGCAGCCAGTGCCGCGAGTTGGCCCTACCCTACTGTATATCATCCTTACGATGCCGCATTCGCTGGATATCCTTTTAATGGGTAAGTCTTGAATTGAACTTATTATAAAGGAAACTTTAAACTTATATACCATATACATATTAGGTCCTTACATATGAAATTGGCGTTTTATCATACTGGCCACTTTGACTCTTCATTTGTTTTTCGAAAACCATGATTTATCGAGTCATTTATGTGCACTTTTTGTTCCAAGGGGTATTTCTATTAATACTCGTACGGTACGGTGAAGATAAATATTGTAAGCCGGCCTTAGACCCAAAAATCATTGTGAGACAGTCAATGTGAAACCTTTGAAAACAACGATAAATCAAACAGACGCATAAATACAATCAAATCAGAAATTTGTTGAAAAATACTCGATTCACGTTTAAACCTGAGCTGTTCATCATAAATAGCTTCCAATATTACGTCGATGTCCGATCGTCTGATCGATTAAAGCACTTTTACGGCACCTCCACAATGCACCATTCAAGGTATTTCTGAAACAATTCGATTTACTTCAAGCAAAGAGCGTACTATTTTTCGTGTGCCCTTTTTCACTGTCTAGTGTCTATGTTAAAGTTGTTTCATTTTCTCCATTCTTTATGCCTAAGTAGTAAGTACTTTTAAACTTCTTCCAAGCCTTATTACTATGTCTCCGTACAGTGGAGGCCTGTAGCCTGTTGAAAGGCAAAGCATTGTATGTACCGACGTTGTAACGATGATATCACAAAAACAGCCTCCTGTTACTCAAAAAACATCGTATCTATAAGTTTATTACTGTGTGATAAAGAAATTATGCTGTTTTTCACTATTTCCATTTTTGCTTTAAGCCGTATTCCTATACGTGTCAGTTACAGGCTTAGTTTTTGGTCTGACTCAATTATCCATCCAAATCTAAAGAGGAAAACTTGATCTGACACCGGCGTGATGAATAATTTGCTTTCATTGAAAAATTCTTCCGTTTTTGAACGAATAAAATGTCCGGATATAGATAAAGTACTTAGTCGTCTAACTTCGTTTGCATAGACAAAAGTGAAGCTTAAAAATATTTTCATTTAGACATTTATGTATAGAGATTATTGTGTAACTTAGTTCTATTTGTAAAAACGCTTTATCGTTCTGTTTTAACCGTACACAAAACGGGAAACGTCAATACATATTGTAAAGATTTTATAATTTATTGATGTTACAGCTCAGACCTAGCACAATTGCGCCGTTGAGATTATATCCGAAAATAAACAGGCTCCGAATAATGCCTATCAAGTATAACCCACTGGAGCCGCTTATCTAAAATTCATTTCCCAATTCACGCCGAGGGCGGTGTTTAGAGCTGGCATAATTAATTTTTAACTAACTGGACGCTGCGCCTTCGGACTTCACACTCAAATGCACGTGAAATTCCAAAAAGAGCAATTCCCTACAGTCTTTGACGGCATTTTCGAATTTTTAGTTCCTCTCCATCTGCGAGCATTACTGTAACGGTTGTGATTTTCGTATTTTGTACCGATATTTATCTATGCTGATAGCGGTGACTTGTAAAGATGATATACATGAGTTTATGTGATATGAGTGTGTTAGATATCTGTTTGTCGGCAAGTTACATCGAACATGGCGCCTTATCACGAAGCGCACTTTAAATCGATTTTCATAAACGATGTGGAGGCAATTATTTCATTTGTAATTAGTAATTCAATTGATATGATAGGCCGTTTGTCGGTAGCGGGCTAGCCGATGAATATCATGGCTGATAAAGCTATATATAAAATTAAGTTTATGTATGCGATACTTGTTAAAATTAGGTATGAAACTAGAAATATTCTTATAGTTTCTGCTTTTATGTCTGTAGTATAAATGGTTGTATTGTGTTCGTAAGGAATAAGTTCAAAAGTAACAATTCTTTCACCGTCAGAAACCTTAATTCTTCCAAAATAATATAGCCTTGCAAAATATTAAAAAACAAAGTCGTATAGGCGGGACGTTAGTGTATTTATACAGAAGCTATTTCAGTATTTATAAAACTAAAACAGTACATTGATAATAGTGGGTAAATTTAGGGAGGTTTTATAAAAATCTAATAAAATATTATTGAAATCATTACCTTATTAACTTATTAGTCCAAGAGGCGTGATCCACATGTATCGTGATATTAAACTAAGATCTTGATACGCTATTTTGGACATAATTTATTTAGTACTATCAAAATTACTGAACACAGATTGTAGCTACTAGAACATGTGTGATATCAAAAAAATCATATTTTTATCAATAAAACAGTCAATCATTGTGTGTGTTATACAGATAGGTTAAAATAATAATCAATATCCATTGCGTTTTACGTACCGAAGAGTCATTAAATAACCCGTGAAGACATTTTATATATACTAAAAATTTTGATCAATTTAAACTCGAAGTATTTTTGGCCATGATATTCCTCATATCTAGTATTAAGTACGACCGTTCCCTATGTATGACCTTAATTATAATACAGAATTGTACAATATGCAAATTAACAATATATCGCAAATATTATCGCGGCCATTGGTCATGCTTTGGACTTGTTGTCCAACAAGTTATAATTGAGTACGACATACTAACTTTATTTCTTGTTATTTCATACTTTACATTCTATAGCTTCAAGGTCTATGCATTGTGAATATGTGGAATTCAAGAATCCATACAATTTATTTTACACCATCAAACTCTTCAGCAACTAGACAATTTCACCAATGCTGATAAAAGGCAAAAATAAAATGTATGAAATTTTAAATACTAAATCAGTGTAAGTCCACTCTTTCAATTAAAGAACCTTTTCATTTGTCTCTTTCTGGGAAATTATGTTTACGCTATAATTAACGAAAAGTTTTAATTGGGAACTTATAATCACTTAAGTATTTTTATGCTTCGATATTCAAATTTCACAACATGACAGCCTGATTCTGCTTTAGCCAAACGTACATTCTTTCTTATAACAATTCTTCTAAGTCTTTAAATACTAAATAAAACAATTGTATAAAATGAAAAAAAATACAATATATGAACATTCAATTGACTAATAATTAATCTTAGCGCCTCTAACGTGAACTTTTTGCTCCCTTTAATTATAAGTCAGGAATTCAAGTAGAGTTTATTTTTTCCTAAAACCCACCCAGCCGAGACCGTGTTGTTATAATTAGCAATTTATATCAATTTTAAGTGTGTAACATGATTTTTCTATTACGGAGCGGTCATTAATATGTGTCGGCAGAACAGTCGTGTTTGTTTTAATGAAATTCGAAGTTGGGTGAAAGAATATTAATGGCTAGCAATAGTTTGTCAACTTCGGCACATTTCCACCCACATCGAATTGTTAATTACAATTACCCTACTCTTTAGCTACGAGATGTTGTATTTGGTATAAAAAAATTATAAAAGAAGACTTGAACTAACTGAGTAATAGCACTGTTTTAACTATAATACTCTTTCATTTCTTTCTTTTGAGTTGTACTTACACTTGTGAAGATAATAAAGATTATTACTTTAGTTAAACTACAAGTGAATTAATTTTATATTTACGTAATTTATTGGTTTTCTTGTGAACTTACTTTATTTGTTTAAGTAACCGTTAATGAACTCTGAGTATGGGTAATAAACGTTAAATTATTTCTAGTGAGCGTATAAACGCGTGGGCGAAACATGATTTATATGTTTTTAATTGCGTTGCAACGTGAGTTCAACGAAGTAAGATGTTATGTAAATAACACTTTACACTAAAATAACTGCCCTTTTAAAAAAAATACACTATGCATTATTACTCAGAATTATATAATATTATAAACATGTTTTATTAAAACACAAAGATATAAGTTTTCAAAATAAATAATAACGTAGTCCAACAAACAATTTTTTTTTCAGAAGTCAAACTCTTACTGTGTTAGAAAATGTCAATCGATTCATAATAATTCGGTATTTTCCAAATAAACAACATTATTTATTAAATGACACTTATAAAGTAAGCACGATAATACCAATGGGTATAATTAATTAAACAAATAGATAATTGAATAATTAATATAATATTGAACTTAATTGTTGATATTTAATTTATGTATCTGAGGCGTAAATGCAAATCATTTTAATTGTTCCTTTAAGGCGTTAAGTAACGATATATATATTAAGACTAAGCGCGAACTATGACTTCTGTATGTCAGTAAATTTTTGACGTACCGTCCGCCTTTAACACTTGTTTCTTAATATCACCCACGCGAAGTCCAACGCAAGCGCAGGTGTCATAACTCCGCTCAGCTGTGAAGAGTTCCGACATTACCATTCAAATAGTACAAGTACATTCATGCCCTTGTATATAAAATTATGTTCTAGACGAATGAATCCGCACAGCATTTTTATTGAAGGCTTTCATCGTTGAGCTGTTGACTAGCTGCACTATAAATTAACAGTAAATATCTATGTCTATTTAGGCAGTTAAATAAATCAATGGCACTACAATCTTTTTGAGGCCTGGGCCTCATAATTCTGTATCTGTTAAATGACCATTGGTAATCTAATAGGCAAGAAGGTGATCAGCCTTCAGTGCCTGACGCTCGCCGTCTTTTTGGGTCTAAGGCAAGCCGGTTTCCTCATGATATTTTCCTTCACCGTTCGAGCGAATGTTAAATGCGCACATAAAAAGTAAATACATTGGTGCACAGCCGGGGATCGAACCTACGACCTCAGGGATGAGAGTCGCACGCTGAAGCCACTAGGCCAACACTGCTCTTTTATTTAGGCAGTTACAGCTGTATATTTACGTAGACACATTTTAAAGAAGGTTCTTAATGTGACCAGTACACATATAACCTCAGTTTTCCTCTATTACATGGTGCACAACTGATGGTTGGGTTGCAAGTCTTCTAGTCCTTTCGTTATTCTTTCTCTACGACAAGGAATTAAAAATTAAATAAGGCGATCAGACCACAACGCAGGTGTGACCTTATCTAACACCTTTAAACCTTTTATTATTGTATAATTAGTTTTTTATTAATCTATTAACCGACTATTCAATTTTAT